AAACAACAAAAATATTTTTTTTAAAGGAAAAAATAAAAATTTGCGGGGAAAAAATGAGAAAAAAAAATAATGCAAGCGCGCCCCATGGCTAACAGCGTTCCAATTAGGGACAGTTCGACTCCGACACAGTTCGAATTTCGCACAGTTCGATTCTGCTCTTGTTCTGTTTTGACACATGTTCGATTTTAGGTCTGTTCGATTTTGGAAGCGTTCGAATTCGTCGTACCCCCCACAAAACACCAAAAAAAGAAACCAAAAATTGTCTGTGTAGCTGAGCTACAGTAGCCTTTCCAATTTCACTGTTCTACAGTATTAATTTTGAGAATTTTCTAGAGTTTTCTAGAATTTTACGATTTTTTCTCTTCATTTTGTTCCAATTTTCAAGTTTTGAGGTTATTTTAAATAGAAAAAAAACACCGAAAAAACCCCAAAAATCGAGAAAAAGCTGCAAAAAGTTGTGTAACGGACAATTTTTCGACATGGACTCCCGGAAAAATATTAAAATCGAACCCCAATTGGACCATAACCTCCTTTCAAACTCGTTAATTTCGGACTGAACAAAATGGATACGGTAGAAAATCACAAGCACTATAAGACGATATGCTCCCCAATACTGTAGCTCGGCTATGAGCAAAGTTATAAACTAAAAACCATGTGAGCTTCGCTAGCCACGGTTTTTCGCCTGTAACTTTGCTCATAGGCTAGCTACAGTATCTGGAATAACATCATTTTGTAGCTCTTGTCTTTATCTATCGTATCTATGTTGTTTGGTCCGAAGATGTAGATTTTGAAGAAAGTTATGGTCCCTTGAACAGAGAAAAAAAAAAGTGAAAATCGTTTTAGCGCATTTTAGGCCATTTTTTGCCCATCATCTTCTTCTTCCTCCGCTTCTTCTTCTCCATGTTGCTCCATTGACGCGAAATCTTCAACATCTGAGCTTCCTTTCAAAAGATTCTCTTCTGTGAACCTAGGAAGTTCTCAAAGATCCCAAGTCTTGAAAGATCCTCAGATCCCTGAGCTTTAGAATCCTAAGATCCCAGATATCCAGGATTCTCCAGATTCTAGGAGCCTTTAAGAATCTAAGAAGATCTTGAAGATTCAAAATTCTAGTATTCCTAAGATCCAGAGCTCTACGATGCAGAATTTAGATTCCCAAAATTTTGGGATTTTAGAACCTTGATTTCCAGGCTTCCAGGATCTGACGTCTCCAGGTTTGGAAGCCCAGGATCTTCAGTATCCAGACGCCCAGAAGTCCTCGGATCTTCAAGATCTCTATATCTGAGAAACTTCCGAAACTCAGACTAATTGGCTTCTGAATCCTAGAGAATCCCCAAGGATCCTAGAAGATCCTGAAGGATCAGAATCCCAGGGTCGAAAGTCTTCAAGTTCAGAATCCTAGGATCTGTAGGATCTAAAATTCCAGCATCCCCAAGACTCAGGATCTTCGGTATTCCAGAATCCATTGCTCCATCTCCATCTACTCTCAGCCACTCATTTCCAACCTGATTTCCTCCTTGCTCATGACACGGATACGGTGTGATCGCCTTGTTCTCCACTTCGTCCCCAACAGCCGAGTCCAGACATTGTGACGTTTGCGCGTTTCGCAGCTGACAAGAAACAACGCTTGTTGGGGGTCGGGAACTCACCTGATTGCCGCCCTGACCGTGACACTGATACGTACCGACCGGCCGATTCTTTTCGTGTCGACCCACCATGCAATCGAGACATCGTGCGGGTTGCACCGCACTGTTGCGCACCTTCAAATCACCAAAACGAGCCACATGACAATTTTTTAAAAGACAGTGAAAAATAGTGATAGTGATAAAAATTGTGATTAGAGAAAAAAAATAGAGAAAAACAACCTCTAATAGAAGAGCCCTCTAACTTTGAGCTCAATTATCTCGGCTCCTATAAGAGCTATCAAAAATCTGTCTACTGAAAAACTGTTTATCATGTTATCAGGAATGTTTTATCAGTTGACAAAATTTTGATAGCTGTTACAGTAACCCAGATAATTGAGCCCAAACTTTGAGCTTAATTATCTTGGCTCCTATATGAGATATCAAAAATCTGTCTATCGATAAAATGTAGCTGATAACTTGATAAACATTTTATCAGTTAACATATTTTTGATATCTCTTACAGTAACCCAGAACCATGAGCTCAAAGCTATAAGTGCCCTTCTATTAGAGGTTCTATCTGCATCTTTTTTAGACTTTAGAAGTGTGATTTGACTACAAAAACTACAAAAATAAAACGCCACACTACAAACTACAAGACAGTGTGTGCTAGGCTAGCAAACGCGCTCTATTGACAATTTTCGTTCTAACTAGCTAGATTATCAACGGAGCGCATTTTCCACATGCAAATGCGCTCTATCGATAAAAATGAGCACAGAGAGTGTAGAGATGGTGAGAGACGCAGAGAAAAAAGCGATTTCTGATGGGATTATCAATGGAGCGCGTTTGCATTTTTCGGTTAGTTTAAAGGGATTTTTCTTTCTCACAGAGGTTAAGAATAGAAGTTTTCGAAAAAATCCCAAATTTTCAGATTTTTCACAAATCTGAAAATTCCAGATATTTCAGGCCAAAATCATGCGAAATTTCACAAAAAAAAACGAGCAAAATCATGCAGAGAAAGAGAGACATGGACCACACAGACACAACAAGCTACAGTAACCCTCCCAGAACTACAGTAACCCCCCAGGTTTTTCGGCACGGATCAGCAATGCACGGTCAGCGGAGAGAATCAGATGATTTTTTTTTGAATTTTTTTGAAAATTTTTTTTAATTGATCAATTAATTAATTAACTAATTATGTTTAGAAATTAGGATTATTAATTGACAAAAATAGGGAAAAACGGACATTGGACACCAATTTTAAAAAAATCGTTAATTAACCGAAAAAAGTTAATTACCCTAATTATCTTTTTTCAATTGAAACCCAATTAACCAAAAATGAGGTGATACGTGGACAAAAATGAAAAATCAGGATAAGAGTGATTAGGTGATAAAATAAAGGCTTCCCATGGGGGCGGTAATTAGGTTTTTAATTAGTTAATTATCTAGTTAATTAGGCAATTAGAGTAGTAATTAAAAATGAAAAAAACCAATTTTTAGAGCTATTTTCGAGCTAGAAATATTCAATTTTTTAGATAATTTTTTTTCCAAAAATTTCAAAAAAAGAAGACGTACCTCTCCTTTGGCCACAGATTCTCCGGGAACAAAGAGTTCCGGAAAAATGTTATCCAGGTACCATTTGAACGATTTGCAGCCCAAATCCGAACGAAGCTTCTTTCTGGCAGAGACATCTCCGAAATCGCCCTAAAAGGCGAAAAATGGGTACCGAGCTCGAATT